TCATTGTAAATTGAGTATCTTTGGGTTTTGTAGTGAGATTCAAAGACATCTCTTTGGAATGTTGTGGTGGACATTATTCACAACATTTTATACATGACATGAAAATGATGGGCAGGTTAATCAGTAATGAATATTATCATCAAGTCACAGTGCAATGAACACCTTGAGGTGTTTAAAAGCAGTGCTTGAATTGGACCAAAAAGGTGCCAGTGCCCAAGTTCAGCACAACCCTAACCCTAAACACTTCATACTTGCTGTTTTCTTAGCATTAAGCTAGCTTTATGTTTACACAGAGCCGCAGTTACACAGCGTTTTAGGAGTACCAGCTTACTTGGGGGGTTGTTGGGCATCTAAGTATTTATTTTTATGCACACATACTTTTATTTAAACATTTATTATCTACCCCTTGGAACAAATACCAGTGACCCTGGTTTGTATGGCCATGCTACCCAGAGGTGGCGGTACTCAATAAGAAGTAAGGGAAAGATACTTCAAAACTTTAGAGATAATGAAAAAATATATAGAAATTCTAATCAGCTTGGGTTAACACATTTGAAGTACCACAAGATATTTGGGGTAAAACTAATGGCATAAATGTTCCAGAAAGTTTGGTTAGTAAGTATAGTTCTATGATTGGTGAGTGAAATAATGACCCTAATAACCCATCTGGTGCTGCTTCCTGGTTAAAACAGCCATTTAAAAACCAAATCTCAACCACAGCCAGTGCACATGCATAGTTGTCTAAGTACAAATATGCATGCAAATACTTGTGCATATAAGTATTTTTGCTAAGCCAATTAATCAGCAACTCTTCATAAGCGACTATATTCCACTTTTTTCAGTGGTCATGCTAAAAGCCAGGCTCTGTACAGGAAGCAGGTCAGCTCAGTTCACATTTATAGCCACAGCACCAGTGTTGTGCTGACTCTGGTGCCCTCACCTGGCCTTCTCTGCTCCTCGCACGCATACTGCTGAGATTGGGGCAAAACAACCGTTAGGTTTTATTCATACATGGAGAGTGTCTGCTCTTTATTATTAGCTATATTATAGCACAACTTTATTAAGTAATAACAATAAGTAATGTATTAAGTAATAGTGATGAAATGATCCTTGCTCTGACACACACACACAGTAGCTCTTCAAAAGGATCAAGAGTGACCCCAACTATGAGTAGACAGTAATATTTTAATCTCTGGCAAATGTCCATGTGTTAGCAGGATAATCCCCTTAACCCTGCAGTCATAGAAATATGACACAGTTAATAATCGTTAATCATTTTTGGGAAAAAAATTTTGGGAAAAAACATGAGAGAAGCCTGCCTACTTCTAACCGAAATATTCAGCCTTCCAGAAGAAGCTCAGGCTGTTGTCTTCTTTGATCAGTGATGAAGACTTCACAGCAGGCACTTCTCTGAACACTGCTCGCACCCTCCAGCCCCTCAGAATCAAGCATGCACTGTGGACATTGTATAAAGACAGATGTTGATTATTGAGGCATTGTCATTATATTTTTCAAAGAGCTTCTTATCACAGTTGGAGGTGGTCAGGTGTGGTCTGCTAAACTGTGACAGGGTCCTGGAAAACCTGGAAATACATACCTGTTAGTGATCAAATTTCCATTTATTGTTCTGGTTGTTAAATATATGCAAAGTGATGTTAATTGTACATGCAACGAACACTTTCACCTTCTAGAGGACACGTTTCTGTAAAATCAAGTCTTAAATTATATGACAAATAAGTGCTGATCTCCAGGAAAATGTCCTGGAAAATTATTTCTTTAAAAGAGTGGGAACCCTTTTTGAGGTATAGCACTGCACTGCATTGTGAAGTGCTGCACAGCATGGACAGAACATGCCACTAGGTGCCACCACAAGTGGGTTTTTAGCATGTGTGTAGTAGTACCTGTATTCTTACAGTAGTAGCCAATAGTCAACAAAAGTTAATTCACAATCAGATGTCATCTTTCACTTCTACATCCACTTATTGTTTCCTGTGGAACCCTTTTTTGTGTCCCATGCTGAAAAGGCAGACTCTGCCAGTAACAATGAAAATCATTATATAAAGACACAATTAAAGAATGCAAATACATTGAATGGCTGTTGAGTTGTATCAACAGATGATAACGTTAAGTAAAAACATGACTCAAAGGAAATACTCCAGAGTTCCCTGGTATACAGTGTATACATCTGATGTTTGACAGTTTTTACATTTAGGCAGTGTATGAAACTTTGACATAAATGTGAATGCCTGTAACACATTTTAAGCAATCCATCCAACAATTGTTGAGATATTTCCATGAAGAGAAAGCTTGAACTTTGACGCAAACTGGACAAAAAGGACCTGTATGTTATCCAAGTTTATGGAACTGTATCCACACCAGTATTACTTGGTATTATAATGATATCATATGAAAATAAAAATAAAATCTGTCAAAGATCCAATCAGCAATCTTCTGCATACTGAAAGTATCTGTCCATATACAAACATATTACTACCTTGGATACGACCATATTTTTGTGTATTCATTGCAAATGCATTGTTTTGCATATGTAAGAGTGACTAGCAAAATAGAGAATTATATATTTCTTTAATTTACTGCAAATAATTTTTTTAAATGTATATTATCCTATCTTTTTTCCCTCAGTCTTTTCAAGTTTTGTTACACTTTAAAATAGTCCCCGTGTTGAAACAACATGTCAGAGAAGCTTAAATTTGCCTTTACTGTATCTGCGCAGTTGAACTAAAGCTGTGAAGTTTAGCCTCATGGTTGGGAATATAAAGCTGAAATAGACCTTTTTCACAAGTGCCAAATTAAGGTTGCGTTCTATTCCAGTCAAACAGAATCAGGGGATGTTGGCTCACTGGAAAGGCTCTGCTACACTAAATGGAACAGAGCCTTAATTAGTATCATTGGTAACACCTGTGTTTACCCTACTATTTCATGTCAAAATTACTGCTGTGAAAAAGGTCCATTGTGGAATGCAATGTACCCTAAATTCCTTTCAGCAGATTTGTAAGTAGCTCATGGTAAATTAGATTGGGCTGGAGTCTGTTTCCTCTAATAGATGCAGGATTGTCGTGGTGGGGAATGGAGCGCAGTGAACACAGAAGCCGCATTGTGAAAGCGGACGAGCCTCCATGAAGTCTGTATCAAACGTAAAGAGGAAATCAAAGAATGAACAGGTTCAAAGGCTCTGACCTCTGGAGCTCTTTAGGTTGAAGATGATTTCATTACTTTCAGAGCAATAGTTAAACATTTCCCTGTCTGAACTGAAGAAAATCCTTGAGAACAGTTCACTGAAAATGTAGCAAGACATTTGTATCCTTTCATAAATGTGCTCAAAAAGTAGCAGCAGCAGGCTGGGTTAATACTAGGTTAAGCCTGTTGGGTTACTTTGTTTTTGTTGCCATTTAGCTGGGCAGCTTCATTTAACTCAGCCTCTCGGTCAGACATATGGAGGGTGAATAATGACTCTATCATCAATAAATAAAGAACTCTATATATTATTTGTGAAATAAATGCATCATTAAATATGGCATTTAATAAATAAAAGAAAAACTGCCTTTGATTTAATTGCTTAAAATCTTTTACAGACACATTCTTTTCTCCCTCAGAATGAATTATAGCAAACTTTAAATGTCTCCATTACCTGTTTATGACCAAAAACCTGCAAAGATAGTGTCATTCCCACCAGCCTCAGCTGTACTTTGTGCTTAGTGCTAATGAGAAAATATTAGCATGCTAACATGCTAAACTAAGTTGGGCAACATGGTAAACATATATCTGCAAAATACCAGCTGTTAGCAGGCTCACAGACGTGCTAGCAGGGCTGTAGACTGTAGTTTGTACAGACATACATTATAAGCAGGAACACAGGACAATCTGAGAGCCACATTAAAAAACGTTTCCCAGTTGAACAACTGCTCACAAATGTCTGAAAAAAGAAAAACATGGAAAATATAATCCATTTGTGATGTATAAACACATGACAACGTATCTGCTTTTATTTTAGTCCCAGTACATAACTGCTGTGTTTCTTCAGAATGTCACCTTCTCAGAATTGTAGAAAAAAGGGTTTTAAGCTGTTAAAATAGATCAATCATGGATGGACAGAAAAGTATTTAGCAATTAATTGTTTGTCATTTATGCTAGCATTCACTGGTTGTGGCTTCTCCTTTGTGAGAATTTGCTCTTTTTCTTTTTTATATCATTGCAAACAGAATATCTTTTGGTTTTTGACTTTTGTTCCACAAAACATTTGAATATGTCACCTCAGGCTTCAGGCATTTGTGATGGAGTTTTTTTTAAATACTTTTTTCAACTCAGACCCAACGATTTCTAAATGAATGTAGAAAATACCTTAATTGATTGCTAATAAAAATAATGGTTTGTTGTAGCCCTATAATGGTTTCCATAGCTGACAGCTAGTACAAGTTCAGTCTTCAAAGGACTAGTCTTCCATCAACATTAAATCATCTAATTGTTACTGCTGTAATTAAGTTATTAACAATAGCCTCCTTGTTTTCTATGTGACTAACATCAAATCTTTACACTTAGGACATCATCACAAATGGATGCATACTAGGCCATATGATGATTTATAATCTGCTCAAACCAAAATCTGTTGAAACTTGAAAAAAACATTATAGCACAGTGCTTCCATTTCTGAAATGATATAAAGTCAACTTAAAGAAAATGACTCAATCTAACACACTGGAATTATATGACCAATTAAAATACTGCACAAATTAATGTTCACTAAAACAACTTCAACTTTGTTCGATTTTGAGTTAGCTTTAATTCCTGGGGTTGAGTGACTCATCAGTTTTTGGAGGATTAAGTTACCTTACTTCTTTTATTAAGATATGCTGCTAGTTTACAGTGTACAACGTGGTAAGCAAATAAACTCCATCTGTTATGTTATATGATAGTGTGTATTTGAAAGATGTTATTGTCACTATGTGTCTGTTTCTTACTGTCTTCTCTCTCTGCCCATCCAGCTTTCTTTTGCTTCCACTGATGTCCCGCCCACCGTGCTCCTCCCAGCCAATCGCCGCCCAGATTGTCTATTCTCTGGTCTATTGAAGGGGCCGTCGGCGAATGCTGAGCAGGCTGGCGAAGTCGAGGTCCGCCTCATTGTCCTGTGATTGGCTGCTGGACGGGACTTAGGCTACATGGAGCCAATGTCCAACAAGCAGGATAGCAACTCATCGGAGGGAGATGAGCAAGGGTGAGACAGAGAGGGTGTGTGTGTGTGTGTGTGTGTGTGTGTGTGTGTGTGGGTGGGTGGGTGTCGGTTTTGCCCGAATTGTGATGGATTGCACATCTGCATGTGTGTGTCCATCTTTGATGTCAACATGAAAGGAAAGCAGAGATTAACGGTGGATTTGGCAGATGAAAGAATAGCTGCAGGCGTGGATGGATGGATTGATGGATGGATGGAAGTATACACTGATGCAGAGTTACATTAACACAACCTCGAATCATCACAGTCTGCACACAAGCACTTCACATTCTACAACAGGATGTACAGTTAGTATATTCTAGAGAGGCACTATCAATACAAGGATGTGAAAAGGAAAATGGAAAATAAACAAACGATTAATAATTGATTAGTGCAGCATACTCAATAGAAATAGATAAAGAAAAGGATGTCTGCCTGGATGGAGGGATACAGGGGGGGCAGGGTATTTAGTGTATTTTTGGGAGAGGTAAAAGGGAAGGCAATCCATCACGCTGCCATCTGTGCTCTCTCCGTTTCTCCAGCACGTGCAGTCACACACACACACACGCTGCCCTCATGGCTTCATTAAATAAATTCACAGAGTTCTGAGCGGGAGAAGTGAACACAAACTGAGCAAGTTAAATCCGACATTACATGAATAAATATAGAACGTTTACTTGAAACAATAATTTGAAATTATTATTAAATGATTAAACTTAAAACATTCATGCTTTCCGCAGAAAGGGAGGTTTTGAATTTGTTGACCCCATGACCTTTGGTGTATCAGCCATCACCATGGTTACCTTAATGTTGGTAGTTTGTGATGTAGCCAGCACAATGTTAGCATCGCATAGCATCTACTTTGGGAGGTAAGCGCAGAGGCCAGTCTTGTTTGAGTTTGTTCCATATGCATGTGTGAGCAGATGTGTTTGTATTAATAAACATGTGTATGTGTGCATGAAGGTGTGTTGTCTTTTTTAGCCAGCAAAGACTCTTTGTGTGTGTGTGTGTGTGTGTGCATGTATTGTATATGCAGCTATAGGAGTGTGTGTGTATATGCATGCGTTGTACGGCATGCGTGTGTGGATTAGTGGAGTGGGGAGAGCTGGATTAGGAGCAGTGAGGGCAGATGGAGCCACAGAAAGCAGAGGACAGCTCAGGACGCCTCAATATGTGACAACAACAGGGGATTGTCGCTTTGTGTTTGTGCGCATGTGCGTGTGTGTGTTTCTCAGTGTCATTGAGCATGCACGTGTTCTTGTGAGCGCTGCCTCATGCCCTGACCCCTCCCCTCTGTGATTTTTGAGTCACAGAGCGTTCTGGATATATATATACACACACACACACACACACACACACACACACACACACACACACACACATTCATGCTCACAGAGATGCTGATGAAAAACTTCACATAGCCTGGAGTAGGGGATGCTGAAATAGAATTTTTTGATGCATCTATGTGTGTCTATTTCGTGTGTGTGTGTGTGTGTGTGTGTGTGTGTGTGTGTGTGTGTGTGTGTGTGTGTGTGTGTGTGTGTGTGTGTGAAGCCTCTGAATATTTGAGGAGACAGTTGTCTTTTAGCATTTCAATTTAATTAACATCTAAATAGATGGACTTAATCTGTATGGTGGTATAGATATATATTTCCCTTTTGAAGTGCTTTATTTTCGATTGCATTTGAGTGAGTGGTATTTTTATGGTTAGAATATCCCTGTACATGTGTAAAGTAGAATCCTTTTAAATCCCATTTCAGTTTAGCTTTCAGCATTTGTGAGTAACAAAATGAAAGTGTGATGAATAGAAGATAGCATTACATTACAATTAATTGGGTCTCGCATATTTAAATAACAGGTAAATGGTAAAAACCTGTACAGTGCCTTTCTAGTCTTCCGACCACTCAAAGCGCTTTTACATTACGTGAGACATTCACCCTTTCACACACATTCACGGCAAAGTCCATCGCACAGAAACTAACATTCATACACATTCGCACACCGATGCACGGCATCAGGAGCAATTTGGGGTCTAGTATCTTGCTCAAGGATACTTCGACATGTGGCACCAGGAGCGAGGGATCGAACCCACAACCTTCAGATTAAGGAACGACCCGCTCTGCCTCTGAGCCACAGCCACAGCCTGCTTTCTTTTCTACATATTTTCTTATGAGCGACTTGCTCCAAATACTGGAAGTCCCTTTGTAAAACTGAAGTGGCTAAGTTTAAATCCTGACTACTGATATCGACATGAAGATTTTAGGTGACTCACAGTTGGAGCACTTCCAAAGCTTGTCTGTACATTAAACTCACGATTGAATCATCAAAAGATGAACAACTAAACATCTACGGGATTCATACAAACATTTGCACAGACAGTCATGGTTGTATCCTAATGACTTTGGTTTTCCTCTGCCTTTTCCTCTAGTGCCACTATAAGGTTGAAATGTATTGTTTGGAGTAAAATGTCTCAACTATTGGACAGATAGGCATGACATTTTGTTCACACAGTCAGAATTCTGTGTTTCCAATGGTTTCCGGTGGTTTCCCATCAACTCCAGCTATAGTTTATTGTTAGTTAGCAAAAGTTAGCACGCTTAACCGCTAAACTAAGGTGGTATTGAGGTATTGACATGTTAGCATTGTTTACATTAACATTTATCTTAAAGCATCGCTGTGCCTAAGTTCGGCCTCACAGAGCGGCTCGCATGGCTGTAGACAGTCTCCTTTAATCATTATTAGCCCTTGGTAAGTGAATGGTTAGCTTTGTCACAAGTGTCCTTTGGAGTGAAACACCATGGACGTCATGAACTGTGAGCAGTGACAGAGTACAATTTCATGATTCATTTCTTATTGTCCAGATGGATGTGGATCTTAATCAAAACAGTGAGGCTGTGATAAAAACTTATGCAGGGTTAGGTATCTGTTAACATATTGTTAACAGACACTGGACTGGAGTAGGCAGTTTACAATAAAGAGCATCTACATACTGCATGACAGAATGTTGTTTTGAGCTTTTCTGATGGAAAGAGCTGTTGAGATCACGATGGAGCTGATTTCAGAGCCGTCAAAGAGCCTAAGCACATAATTCTCATGGATGCTTTTGCTGGGCATTGATGGTGGCAGTTGCTCAGTGTTCCTGTACCTTCAGACTGCTATAGGCAGTCAGACCAGTCATAAACGTGGAAAAGAACATTCACTTGTACGTTATTATAGCTAGGGGAACATTGCATTGCATTATTGCACTTTTCAACTCATTCCCAGACATTGAGCTAATGTCAGTATATGTATGCACTGATTCCTGAAAGAGAAGCATTAAATGTTAAGGAATGCCCACTTTCTGATTTACCACTGACAAACATAAAAAAAACAACATATTTTTGGCAACTATACCAGGAACAGCATGGCTCTGTATGTAAAATTAACAAATAGGCTTTATCCCTCCTTCACTCCTTTTCAAAGGACCATTCTTCCTCTCTTAGCGAGGACTTATCCTCAGGTAACCCCTCTGTAGTTGTACATTTTATTAGCTGAAGCCGCACAAGCAAACACAACAACAGCTGTGTATCACAAACCTCTTTGCCATTTGACCAGCTAAAGTGTGTGATACAGGCAAATAATGAAGTAAGGGGGGATTTTTTTTTCAAGACCTGAATAAAATATAAAAGTAAATAAAGTTAAATGTTTCCTGATATGAACCACGGCATAATTCAAGAAAGAAGGTGTGTTCACTGTGTCAAATGAGAGGATCATTGATTCATAAATTCTTGCCGTGACCTGATGGGGAGGCACGGCAGACTACGCGTTGGACACTGAACTCAACCAACATCATTCCTCTTTCACTTCACTACGTTTAGAGTTCTTCTTAGATACTCTTTGTTCCTATGGATCACGGAACAAGTTGTAGAAAGAGAGATGAATCGGGTCAGTACTTCATGATACATCCCAGATGCTGCATTTGTTGACTTCCATTAAGACACACTACACGTTATAAAACAAGCAATTGTGACACCCAATGCTCACATTTTATCCTGATAACCATGTCAAGTCAGACAACTGCTACTGTGGCTTGAGTTTTACTATAGAAAGACTAAGACACCTTGCAGCATGGATACCTTGGGCACTGCTCACCTCTCGGATTGAACAACTTGCTCCTGTGCTCAATGTCATTTACAACTCTGACCTTTCTTTTTAATATTGTTTGTGGGCCTTTTTCCCTTTATTGGATAATACAGCTGAAGATAGACAGGAAAGAGAGAGTGTGACACACAGCAAAGGGCCACAGGTCGGATTCAAACCCTGGGCCACTGCAGAAAGGACTCAGCTTTTGTACATGGGGCGCCAGCTCTACTAGGTGAACTATCAGGATGCCCCACAACTGTGACCGTTCTGTGAGAGACAGAAATTGGATGGTGGCTGTCTGTGGCTGTCTGTGGCAAAACCTGAAAGTGATGAACAAAGAAGCTCATGGTCTGTGTTTTAAAGATTTAACCTTCCTGAACTCATGATGGACAATTTAAAACTAATGCCTTTTTTATTACATGCATTCTTCTTCCTTGTCAAATTCTGGTGCCTAGATTACCAACTCGACCACTGACAGTTCGGTCAGAGATTCAGGTTTGTTATGCTAGTAGCAGCTTACATAGCTTCCAGCCATTAGCCTCAAGCAAAAGGAGGAGTGGGCTCCAGTGGTTTCATAACTCCAAACCCACAGATAGTCTTCATCCCCCTTCAGAAAGATAGAGAGATAGATCGATAGATAGATAGACTTTATAAATCCCCACAGGGAAATTTGGTCGTCATAGCAGCCAGGTACATTAAAATACAATAATAGAATAAAATACAGCAATTGAATAAAATATTTAGATATAAAAGATTTAAAAAAAAAGATAAATAGGTAGGTAAGGTGCAAAGAGTTGTAGTTGCAAAATAAATATGTATAGATAATAAACTATTTGGCACTTTCCTGCTGTCTGAGGCGCATTGTTGACTCAGACATACCTTGC